CCCATGTACAATACTATTCACAGAATTGCAGCAGGAACACTTCTTTCTCTTTATCTAGTCTAGATTGTGGTGCACATTCGTCTATACTTCGTATTTTTATATATGTTGTTTGCAATTTGATGATAGTATCAAGAAAAACGTAAACAGCTGGGTGACATCTAAAAAAGTCTTTCATAACTTTCATCACTTTTGCCTCAAAATCCACATGTGCTGTTTTCGGTTGGAACCTGTAGCCTCTGTCAGAGCACAATATAATAACAGCCGATATGCAGCCAATATACACCTCCTATGATTTTAAGCTAGAAATTAAAATTATCAATGCCCATTTTAGCGCAATATTTTTAACCCATTTTATAATAAATGATAAATAATATTCTGTCTATCCGATATCGGTATCCATCACATATTACACTTTTCTTTCCTCTGTTCGTTTCATCAATATTTATTTCTATGATGAACCAAACTAAATATATAAACAACTTAAACATTAAGCCAGCATAAATTTCTGTCCATGGTTTTAGTAAGATGAGTATTATTCAACCAGGTAAGTTTTCGCTAAAATGGATCATCGAAAATACATGTGAACGGAATAATCCTGCGCTAAAATGGGCTTTAATGTCTGCGCTAAAATTTCCCCTAGTAGTGGAAAATGTTTCGCTAAAATGTCCTGCGCCCAAATTAATTAAGTGAAAGGAAGTATCCTGAGGCTAAGATAATTGTTAATTGTTAGAACAACACATTTATAAATTATTTCAATGGTGTCTTCCTCCTATTCCCACTTTTTAAAAGTAACTATTCCTTCTATGCTGTCATCCTAGTTTGCCCACTTTTAATCACTTGCATATATAAACATAGGGGAATTGTTGTTTTAACAGTTAAAGTCTGTTTCTTTTAATTAAGGCATATTATTTACCTGTAATTCACCTGTAAAATCTTATAAAGAATACATATTTTTGATTGAAAATTGATTCAATAGTGAGATTTAAAAAGGGAAAATATTAAAACAAAAACTATGAATATAATTAGAAAAGAGATAAATTTTATAAGATTATTAATATTGAGATTTAAAAAGGACAAAATATTATAATAAAAACTATAAGTATATTAAAAAAGAGATACATGTCATACCAATTTTAAATGAGATTATAAAATAAAATAAAAAAAAACAAATATTTATAAACTAATAAAGGAAAATAATTGTGTTCAGATTTCTATCTATTCATTTTTATCTTAATTTATGAAAACAATTTTTTTTAGGTTAGAGTGAAATAAATATTTAAAATTTGAGAAAAAGGATATCTATAACTTTTTGATGCTAAATAAAATAAATGGGGAATGTGTTCATGAGACACAGATGATGCCTTTTTCTCAAGCTACAGGTTGTGACAAAATGACACATTGTGTATGGATTATACAGGAAAAAGCATCATTATGTGAGTAGAAGATAAACTAAATGATAGAATTGTAAAATAAAATACGAGAAGATAGCTTTTAGAAAATGCTTTCAGAATATCAAAAGAAAAGATAGTGTCACCATTCGTTTGTTCTTGCTTAAACATAAAATAGCAAAATTTCATGTAGATTCTTTTAGAAAATGTACTATTTCCAGAGTTACCACCCTTAATATGCCAATTTAAAAACTTTGAAAATCAAGCAAAAATAATCTACGTTTGTAAAAATATTAGTATTTACACAATGTATAAGTTAAAATCTTATAAATTTGTTCATTAAAATGAAAAATCGCATTAGTTAATTGCATCCCTGCATTACATTTTGCTGACTTGATTAAAACTATGGACCTATCATGATGCCTATTGTGCTCTGCTATTTTACTATCCAAGATGGCGATAGAATCCATACTACCTTAAATGCATTATGAATGATAAATTTCAGTGCTAATGATATTTATGTAATATTGCCAATGTTAATTGTTTCAGTGCTATTAAAAAAAAATATTAAAATCAATTTATTATTTATTTTCATCAGTTATCTCCTTCAAAGAATCAATTCAATGAAAATTTCACAACCAAATATAGGAAGAAAAAAATACACATATTAATATGCATCAATTGCAAACGAACTTATCCAATAGATTTTTACAGAGATATATGTATCTATATTCTTATATCTATATATTAAATAGCAACACAACTTGAACAGACTATACAATTTTCCAATCAATAAACCTTTTGTCTTTTTTGTTTATATAACCATTTGATAATTGGGGTAATCAAAAGTGGGCAAACCAGGATGTAACCCCTTCTTTTCCCACATGCAAATAACAATAGATGTTTTGATAAATAATTTGTTTTTATAACAATCAAGGTTAATTAAAAATTCACCTAAGATTTACTTGTATATTTCTTACACTGTTTAAGTATATTATTTAAAAAAAAATAAAAATTGATACACTGTTTATTTGTAAAATGTTTTTTTCTTCTTCAAAGAATTACCTTAAAATAAAGAATAAGTCAGATAAACAGAAGTAATATAAGTCAGATTAAAAAAATCATTGAATTTGTAAACCTAAATAGTTGTCATCCGAACCAGTTTTACCAAAAAAACGTTGATAAAAAATCATCATACAGGGTATTTGGGCACGTACTACCAAAGGTGACCAATTCTTGCTAACACTAAACAGACGACAACACAGTTGCAATTGGGTGTGTATTAAATCTTCAGAACTCGAAGGAATCTAACACATTAGCAGCAGCAGATATAATATACTATTATGGTAAAAGTACATTTTACTCCTGTCCAAGCCTATTTTTCAAACTTTACACATTTCACGCAATGGTTGACGGCGCAATGTATCCACTGGTACACAGTTTACTTCCAGCCAAGAGCGAACTAGCATACACAAGGTTCCCGACTTTACTCAAAGATGTATGTCACCAACACTAACTACAACTTCAGCCTACCATTATCTTCCTGGACTATGATTCATGAAGTCGTCATCCAAAATGCAGCATATTATGTATTTTCTTACATCAACGCAAACCACTGTTTTTTTCCACTACACACAATGCATCTGGAGAAAAGCACAAGGAACAGGGATTCAGGTTCCATACAAGAAAGACAACAACATTCATCAACTAGTACGCCGTGCCGCTATCCTTCCACATGTACTTACTGCTGAGGTTGAAGATGTGTGGTTTAATGCCCTAGTCGACATAGATCAGATTGATTATAACATCAACTACACGCCCTTTACAGACTATGTAACAAAACACTGATTGGAAAATTACACAACACAGGGACTGCGGACTACATATCATCTAAAGGGATGGCAAAGCAAGCGGAAGAAACATTCCAGAACCCACATCCAAACGTCTTTAAAGTCATAAAACTACTGAAACATGAGGAAGCTACGCCCTGACCATGATCCAGTATGCAGCCGGTAGGAAGAGAGTGGCCCAAAAACGAAAGTATGTCAAAATCAACAACAGATTAGAAGAGCTTATGGATAGATACCTCAACCAGGAAGTCACAACATTACAGTTTGGTGATACAGCCTCCCACCTTATTCACGTTGAATAGTTAAATAAACTTTGACAGACTAATATACAGTGAATTTCTAATGTGTGTGCTACAATGTATGATTTGTTTTAGTGCTTTTAACTTGTATTGTTTGTTTCATATTATAATGCTTGATTGACTCTACTGCAGAATTTGTGTTATAAAAGAAATAGAATAATTTACTACATTTGTTTCCATTTCTTTCATATTTATTTAAATTAAAAACACAGAATTCATACACATACAAAAATAACCTATTACCTATCAAAAAAAAAACGCTGGTTAATTAAAAGTTGATTACACAATGTTTATACAGTATAATCCTTTGTTTGCACAAGTTTTCCTCCTATTCCCACATGAAATTTTAACTTTTCTTACCAGATTTTAAAAAAGTGGGAATAGGAGGAATGAACAATTTCAATCATAAATTGGTATTGTTATTTAATTTTAAGATTTTTTTTATGAATTTCTGCTAAAAAAATTATTAACGAATTATATACAAATAACGATATTATAATATGCTATAATGATTAATGAAGTATTTAGGAATGTTATATATTTTTTTCAATATAAAAAATGTTTATAAAGTATTAAAAAAAATCAAAGTACAATGTGCTTACTAAATGTAGGAAAATTAGATTTACAGGTGCATGATGTTTATTTCATCAGAAAAGCCAAAAATGTTTAATATTTCCTAGCAATTATTCAAATGTAATTGGAAGTAATTGAAAAGTAATTCATAATTACATGACAAAAAGCAATGTAATTAATTACTTTCATTACATGTAATTGAAAATGTGTTCAATTACACATTACATTGCATTACTTTCAAGTTTGTAATTAATTACAGCTAATTACAATTACATTTTAATTACCCCAGATCTGACTAGTGGTATACCTCAAGGATCAGTATTGGGTCCAGTATTGTTCGTAATTTTTATAAACGATTTACCTGAATGGGTTCTATTAGAAGTATTTTTATTTGCCGATGATACATTACTATTTAGAGAAATAAAAGATGAGAATGATATACTAACCATACAACCAGATTTAAATGAACTATTTAAGAGGAGAGATACTTGGCTTTTAATGTTTCCCACGGAAAAAAGTATTAAAGTATTTCTCATTATGAACAAACACAAATCATAATCAGAGAACGCGTAAACAATGAGAAAATATGAAGGGGGAATAACTGTATTGGAAAATATGGATTGTGAAAAAGACATTGGAGTGACAATCGACATAATTTATCTTTCGAAAAACATATTCAGACACACGTAAACAAAGCAAACCAGATTGTTAGCAAATTCTTCAATCTAATTAAATATAGTTCTCTGATTTCGTTCTACTCATAAGAGCTTATATGTACGAGCACGAGAGCTAATATAGGTCTGAATTTTAATCAGACTGGGAAAATGACAGAAACGATAAAAGTTGAAAACATAGATAGAAGTTTTGGAATGAAAGAATTTGAGTCATAGTTCTGTGTTTAGCAAGTTTTATTTATGAAACTACAAAATCTACAAATATAACAATCAAATATAAGTTAGGCTTAAAGATTGAACTATTCTGTTACATCAACACAAAGGAAGCAGTCCAATTATTTCCCCTGGTAGTACCTTCCTCGTAATCCGTTTCCACCTCCTCCTCTACTTCTGCCATATTGGTATCGTCCCATTCCTGCAAAAAAATCGTTGCCGAGTGTTTATTTATTTATTTAAGCTAAATGTGTCGATACAACACGAATTCACCCGTCTGAACTCTAATTGTTAACTGCCATTTCTCGGAATCTAATGAAGCCGAGGTGTATCAGGGACATACACTGAAAAGATTTAGTGTTGCTTATATGGCGATTTTATTATGTAATTTTTTAATAGGAAGCTGGTCAACCAGAACTGCAAAAATATTGATAATCGGATATAAAATAATGAACATGAATTCCTGAATAAGTGAGAAAAGAAAAAAAGGAAAAGGAAAAGAAACAGCAACTAGACCTGTAAGTCATAGTATAAACTAATATACATAAATACGCTCCAGATATGCAATTATAGTATATAAACTCGATCTGTAGGTCATCATTGTACATCAATATCTACAAGTATTATAATATAGTGTCAGGGCAAGTAAAACTTTCAGGATTATTTTACGTTTTAAGGTGGTAAATAACACTACAGGGAGATGACTCTGTAAAAATCACCTGAACGTTTTGATCACATTCTATTGTTAAGGAAATATTAAGCTTCTCAATGATCAAAATTAGTGTTTGTCAAACTGCTATATATCCAATGAAAATTTTTCTGATAAAGTGTGAGATTCAAGTTTTTTGAAATTTTCATATTTTTGTCAAAGGGTCAAAGTAAATATTTTGTCAAAATTTTATGAAAATTAAACGAGCCAAATTAATTTTAGTCAAGGTGTTTGGTACCACCTTAAGGCTCGTTATACAGCCTAACAATGTTTAAACTGCATTTTTGCACTAATACATCTATATTTATTACTTCAACGGAATCGGAATTAAAAGTGTGAGACATTACAAACCAATAGTAATGTGCCCATTGCCTTGGACCACTCGTACACATATGCCATTCAAAAATATATTGAAACAAGGGTTTGTTTATTGTCACGTGACCATGTTCAGTGAACCTTGAAGTAAGAGTCGAAGTATAATTTTCACATAAAAGTTAAATATTCACTTCATAATGAACATGTGTATTAAATAAGTTCAAGTTTCTGTGACCCCAGCGACCTAAGCCAATAACCAGATAATGTTATTTCCCACAATTACATTTTGATGTTCAATAAACCATGAAATCGAGATCAGAAACGTTATTTGGTATATAATTTAAAAAGCTTACATAATAATATACATGTTTACTAAGTTTCAAAACTTCATAAACTTCCTTAAACAAAAACTTTAATCTGATTTTGAACGTAATAACGGACGGACAGAAAGACACACATAATGCTCCATACTACCAAGATGACACTTAAAAAGATAATCATACCTTGACCGGAATAATACTGGGCTACAGCAGCTGTTAAAGCCAGAAACAATAGGTGTACAACAATTAGTATCTTCATTGCCTGAAATAGAATTGCCTTAAGTTTAAAATATATTTTCTTTTATGTCAAGAAAAAAATTACTATGTAAAGAGTGCATTTCAAATATAGAGAGAGATTTCTCATTTCCGAAAAGGTTTGTCCGATTCTGAGATGGTCATCATCGAATGTTTTGGAGATCATCCTAGTCTCATTATTTTGAAAAAAAAAACTCTTTTCTCACATCTGTTCAGCTTTTTCAACTGAACTCAACAACTGCCAATACAAAAAAAAAAGACACCAACTCAGAATAAAACACGTATACTTTTCATGACGTTGGGTATGAAAGCTACACCGAAGTACAAACGCTGATATTATAACATGCACCGACATGATTCCATAAAAGCAGGTATTTTTTTTCAATACAATATTTGTTTTATTATTGTTATTGTTGTCCTAGTACTATTGTTTTTGATATGGTTTACAACGGTATTATGAAGTTGAGTGCTCTTTTTATACTGATACCTTTTATGTATCTTTTGTTCCTAATAATACACTGATAAAGAATTAAAGGTGTATGTTTGAGATATCAAAAACCAATTTGAAGATATTTTCAACAAAATTTTGACTATTTATACCTTCTAGATATTCGAAGTCTACGTAAAATAGTATCGGAATTCACATATCTCAACATATTATCAAAACAAATATCACCAGTAATCGTTTGTTTCTTTCTGATTATGAATCTTGATATTGAATTTATTGCAATAAATCATAATTTTATAACTAATGGAATGTTTTTTTTCTCTTTCCTTATAGTAATTTTTCCTTGCCTTAATTAAAGAAAGAACGTATATAGCCCTTTAAAACTGTTTTTATTTACGACCATTTAACTACCGGTAAACGCACATTGGAACATTTATTCTTACCTTGTTAAGTGTCGCTCCAGAAACGAAAAGAAATGGATATTGATTGATTTTTTTTCTGTTTATATATCGTAAATATCTTACATAAGACGATAGTTTAAACTTTGAACTTCCCCCAAAAGACAAAAATGTACACGGTATTTGTAAACATCTTTAATTGATGTTTAATCACTTGTTTATTCATATTTTTGATAGTAGAATTGATCAGTATGTGGCTTTCATGGTTAAGGTACATTTTGTAATTCATTTTAACACATTATGATAAACAATGATAATGTCAGGCAATTCGGGTTAAAAGTTGGTTTAGGTGCATATTTTGAAAAATATATACACCTCAAACTGTTTTATATAACTTCTCTCGAATTTAATATGAAAAGTATATACAAGTTACGACAAACATGGTTACACCGCGAATTCGTAAATTAATGCATTATCCCGTTTTAGAATCCCACAAATACTTGTTCATATATTTGTTTTGTTACCGTATACGTGTTTTATGAGCACTTTTGTGTTGACATAATATGTTCATTTTCTGTAAATTTGCTGTTTATAAAATGTTGAAATATTCGAAACACTTTAAGGTTGGTCTACCTTGCGACAGAGTTTTCTCTATCTGTATTTGGTACACTTTTCCCGTGTGTAATGCTCTTCAACTTTGTATTGATTTGGCATTCCAAATGTTTTGATTCGAGCGCCACTGGTTAGGCTTGTGAAGACGAAATCGGATCTAGCGTACACAATTATAATTTTGTGATGCGGGTATCTTTATGTACCTTTTTTTATTTTGGTGATCAAGATAAAAATAAACGGGGAGGATTCAATAATAAGAAAATAACACTACTTGAATCTCGGATTAGTAGCAACAGGTTATCAAATCTCATAAATCAAACAAGAAGATCAAAATCAAGGTTAAAAACAAAGACTGAGGGATTCCCTGAACTTCGAAAAGAGAGAATACCGGGTGCGTCGACAGGATAATGGGCCCTTTCCAAGCCAGATTTTGTATTTTCGTTGTATGAAAAATGGTTTGAATATCAAAATATGGTGTCACACTGAATAATGATAAATGATTTTTTGAAAAGGAGCAGATCGTGGATAATATATATCAAACTCGAACTTGGGACTCTTGGAAATATAGTGTATACATATTTGTGGAAAGAAGTTAAATTTGAGGCAACAGTAGATTACCGATGTTCAAATCTAACTTATTAAGAAAATTCAAATCAATGTGGCAAACAAAAACTGAGGGAATCGCTCGAACTCCAAAAGGAGCGAGACCGTGTGCGTCGACAAACCGAGTATTTCTTGTTATACTTGCATTATCGTCATGCTCATACACAATCATTCAGAATGGCACAATCTGAACATAATCAGAAAATTACTGATCAGACGACTTTTCGGGTATCTAAGACAACCAAAATATGTCGCTAGTGAATTGAGACATAGACACATCGTATCGGTCAACCGACTTTTGATGGGGCCCGTAGAAATGCATTAACAAAAATACTTAACTCCACGGTTAATTCAAAATTGGGAAGCCCATAAAAAATGTCATTTCAAAATGCTCGACTATATCAACCAACGGGAAGACTGGAAAACAACTGTCATATTCCTGACTTGGTACAGACAGTTTCCCGTAGAAAATGGTGGGGTTAATATGGTTATATAGCTACCCAAACCTTTCACTTGTATGAAAGTTGTTTAAAGTTACGTTATAATGACAAAATGGTGTGAGCAACCTTATCAGACATAATTGGTTAACGTAACAATAATTGGGATGTAGCAGTCAAAATTTGTGTAAACATACATAAACAAAATATTCAAGTGAAAACATACATTATAAATATACAACACAAATGTTTTAATGTAGTGTCGATTTCACTCGTCTTCTTACTGTGTTGTATGAAGCAAAATACTGTTGATAAAGTCTATATATTGTGAACATGCACGAGCTTAACGTATTATTTGAGATATGACAACGCCATAAGATTGGGCAAAGGGTATGTTACTGCTGAGAAATGTGAAGTTCACAATTGGAAAGTAGAAATCAACACGTTTTACATAGGTTCTAGTTTAAAGTCATGCATCTCTGATAATATTCAAGGAAAGATCAAGATATGAAGAAAACTTTCTAGATGTGGTAGTATCCTGAATCTAAATTAAACTAGGATATATGAGATGCAAGCACTCACTGAAATGTGGTTATTGAGTGACAGCTAATCATCTATTTATCTGAAAGTCAAATTACAGAACTTGGCAAAATGCTCTTTTCCTTTTGTCTGTGAGAAGGTTTGAGTTTGGTGAATATGTATGTTTTATTCACACAAAGTAAGGACCACATTTTTAAAATCAATGCCAACTGTAATTGACCAAATTCGTTGATAGTTTACGATAACATTTGCTCTTGCTTTCATTTTAAGTGTTGTTCTCTGTGCTTTATAATTTTTCAATGTTTGTGTTGTTTATACAAGTTACAGTATTGTCAATGTTGTTATGTTCTTTGTTATGAAAACGGTTTCTATTTCAAAATTTTTACAGTCGGTCAAGTTCCAGGATTAGAACATTTACTTTGCTGATGGTTTATTAATTTTTGTAATGCCCTAATCAATTGATTTAACTTATAAATGTATTTTATAGGAGTAACACGACGGGTGTCACATGTGGAACAGGATCTGCTTACCCTTCCGGAGTACGCGAGATCACCCCCGGCTATTGGTGAGGTTCATGTTGCTCAATCTTTAGGTTTCTACGTTGTGTTTGTATACTGTTATATGTCTTTCGGTCGTTTTCTTTTGTTACTTACCATGGCACTGTCAGTTTGTTTTAACTTGTGAGTTTGAATATCCCTTTGTTATAATCTTTCACCTCTCTTTTGCATTTGCATGCAGATTTATGTTCAGAATGAGAGAATTTAACAGATAACAGCTTTTCAATTTATTTCGTTCTTCTTTTTTTTTCGTCTTTTGTAATTTTCGTGTCCTTTACTTTAGGGTAACATAATTGCTAGATCTGACACAAAATTGAAAACAAAACCAAATAATACTAATACCTCACCCAGCAGATTTACTGTTTTGAAATAAAATTACCGTGTCCTCTCAGCGTCCGCTACTTTCGAACTTGCTTATGTCAACTATCGATTAATTCGTTTCGGAACATTATCTAATAACCTGACCATACCCGCCATTACAAATATGAATGGTAGCTTTGATCGTAAAAAGGTATTCATTTTTTTTATTGTCTAAGACATTTCCCTAGATATAGGTTTTTAAACATTGAATCATTTTGGAATCCTTTAACCCACATCAGCACGGCAGTTGTTTTTTTTTAATGTAAATTCAATACATTTTCAGATTTGGCGCAAATTATTATCTATATTGTTTTTGTTTGTTGTCTTGATTTGTTACTTCTTGGTAGAATTATAAGATTTCAAGAACAACGGTTAACTACTGTCGCCTTAGTCTATTTAAAAAAAAAAGTAAAATAAAAAAAAATGTTGTTGCTTTTGAAATTATCACTGACTAAAGAACTGTTTATGCACGTTCAAAATAAGTGATTGAAGTATGCAAATCTCTTGATGGCAATGTTCACTTAATAATTGTACGAAAAGTTAGTAAAGATTGAGTTGGACAAATGTTGCTTTTCTCTTATTATTCTTTTTGGTCTTTATGGTTTTGAAAAAGAACAGAAAATGCCAAGGGCAATCAAAACTACAAGTGAAAAAACATATAATACTATTCCCCCCCCCCCCCCCAAAAAAAAAGGCAAACAGTCCATAAAACAATACTAAAGAATGTGCGACACAAACAAAAACTGGTTGTGAATTCCGGAGAAGAATAATAAGCAGTTCTTATTCCTCTTATTACGTCCGTCGCGTTGTCAATAAGAAAAACTGATAAGTGATAGCGGTATTTATGGCTCACACAACAGCGGAATAATTTCTGAATTTTGTCCTACCCTCAGATATTATCAAAATTTATTAATTAATAAGTTTCGGTACATGCAAAAATGAAAATATGAAAGACTGGAACAAAAATTTGAATAAAAAAAGACAAATCATTAACAGATGCATCAACACAGACAATGAAAAATAAAATATCACAAAATACAACATAGCAACTTAAACAAACCCGACACAAATCCCAATACAACAGAACTTAGATGGTCCAGTAGGATACAAAAATTCCCTGCTCTTATACTGGCATCTGACATATTTACTATGACTAGTTGAATCCACCGAATATTACGCTACAGTAGTTTACCGAGGTTCAAATCTGGTAAATCGATTGATAATGAAGAGACAAAGCAAGGCAACACACAGAAAGTAAGGGAATCGTATGAACCTCAAAGGGAGCGAGACCAGGTGCGCCGACAGGGTAAGCGTCTCCTGCTATGCTTTCACCGCCCACTTTGGTAAGAGAATTTTAACATTATTTAGCTCCGTATACTCCGTTTAGATTTGAGGTTATCTGTTAAATGATTTGCAGGAAATGCGTGTCTTGCGAACAGAAATATACTTTTGCTACAAACTACCGATTCAACACTATGCTTTAACAACTTTAAATGACCTATGCTGTTTTCCTAAAAAGAAAAGATAGAGATGTTTGTTTTAAACATTTATAAATCAAAACCCTATTTTAATGAATTATAATTACTCAAAGACGATAAATAAAGTGCTATTTTAGCATTCAGTCAAAGTGTAATATTGTATGTTTGTGGTAATATATACATTGTATCCATAATTATTGTTAATTTTTCTTAAGTATGAACCAGTTAAGTGTTTCGTCATAGAATATGTAAATATTTCCACAACAAGGTCATATAACACTTTCATTATATCGATATGTGACCATGAATATTATGGTCGTTTTATTGTCAACCACCTTATAATAAACTTATTATAAAAGGTAACTAATTCAACACTGTAATTAGATCTTTGAGTATCGTTTATTTGGTATAAATATTAATTTCGTTATCAGTAAATTAAAACCATACTTAATATTATTGTTATACACATATGGCTTTGAACTAGCTGCCAG